ACGTATACATTTGCTATAATGTTTTGATCGTTTGGAAGACATACCAGTCCAACAAGATTGTTTGAATTAACACAACACAGTACGCTTTCGCGCTATTCGTTTTGATTCTCAATTTATTCGATATGAATGCTCTTGAGAAACACTATTCGCTTTAATTCTCAATTATTCGATATGAATGCTCTTGATATAAAACGGTTTTTGTATAAAGTTAATTCTACATCATGTCCTTCCATCATTCTTAGTCCTATGAGTAACGAATAAATCCTTGGACAAAAATCCGAAAGATTGTATATTGAAGATGGTGATGTATAGACGAAGTTCAAGCTTTCTTCTGATTTTCCAATTTACAGGGTATGGTGCATTAATGGGATACTTTATTCTAAACCAGATATTATTTGATTGTCCATTAGTCGGTTCCAGTAAAGCTAAACTGAATAACACTTATCTACTCAAAAACAATGTTAGCATTTGAAGAAGCCCTCGAAAAGCCCATGATCTGGGACTTGATTTTCTCGCGCAGAAGGGAGTCTCTCGGCCTGGACAAGCTCGTCCACAAGAAAAGTTCCTGCAGTACTTTGCCATGCGTCAGTAAAAATTTCACGAGACTAACTTCGTTTGCTCCCTCCGTGAAGCCGTGAATTTTTACGACCTTCAAGTTATGAAGGAAGGGCTTCAAGTATTGAGTTTGTGACTCCCAATACCTTTCCTCCCCGGAGCTCGGGGATTGCCACAAGTCCTTGTTCCATTGCTGCAGAGTGATCAAAAGATAAAAAAGATATCTTTTAGAACTTGTTAAACAATACTACAGATTGATAAATGCTGATGTTTATAAATGAACAACTGAAAATTTACTTACTCGTCGTTTAGAATCTCGATTACTAATAATCTTGATAACAACGGTGTGCACGTTGGGGGAACTTCTGAAAAGGCTCGCTAGTCCGGGGTTGTTGTGTTTGTTGAAACCAGTGCTTAACTCGAGGGACTTTAGCTCATTAAAAGGGCACAGTGAAACACCTGCAAACCGATTGCTTCTTGATATAATCTGTAGACAAGCAGCAGTTAGGAAGAAGTATTCAAGCAGGAACTATGTAATCCAATAAGCAAGAAGAAATGCACCAAATCAGATAATAATAAGTTATGAATTGGATATATTGCAACTCTAGACAAAAAGAAATGAGAAACAGAATCCAATTTCCAAAATTGCCAATCCCATATTTTATTATTGGGAAATGCTTAAGTCTCGTTACGGAACCATTTCGTCGAGGTTCCTAACCGTTAGATCATCATGTAACCATCAGAAATAATTAATGTGACGGTTACAAATCCCGACGGAGTAGTTCCGTAACAGGACCCTACCATGTTCCTTTATTAATATGCTTAGGTAGTAGCTTGCTGTTTTCATTGTCAAATATAGCAAAAAAAAAAAAAAAAATAATAATAATAATAAAATATACACTCATATGCATGCATGTAATCATGTAATGAGACCCTTTCATCACTTTTACTCACCAAAAAACTATCCCTTTCAACTTACACAACAAACGGTTTCTGTTCCCAAACATCCTTATTATTCCCTATTTACTTCACTTACCCAGCAGCAATGAATAAAACACAGGTCCCCCGAAAACAACTCGAAAAGAACAATACCTCGACACACTGGCTCTCTAGCGTCAACGAGCAGCAGCAAGAGATCCCTTTGAGAAACTTCCACACGCTCTCGGCCTTCCTCTCGCCTAAATCCGGCGGGTCGTCCCGGAAGAACCCGACAAACACCTCGTGCAGCGAGCCCAGCCCCATCAGCGCACACTCATCCGTGACCGCGTTGTAAGACCACACAAGGAGCCCCAGCCTGGGGGCCTCCACCCCCACCCTGCTCCCGAGGCCGTGAGACTCGAAACAGCTCGTCACCCTCAGCCTCTCCAACCTCTCGGCACGAACCTCCAAATCCTGCAGCTGCAAGCACCTCTCGATGGTCAGGTCCTCCAGCCCCCGGCACTCGACCCTCAGCCGCCTCATCCCGAAACAGGACTCCAGGTGCAGCTTCTTCAGCGCGGGGAAAGAGGAGCGCGTGAAGAGATCGACGAGAGAGGGGCTGTCACGCAGGACGGGCCTCACCAGGGACAGGACGGTGAGGGACCTGAAGCCGTCCCTCATGGTCTCCAGGGGAGGCAGCCGGAATCCCGGGTGCCACGACTTGAGGCGCAGGGTCCTCAGGGTGGGGCTGCTCGCGAGGGCGCGCGGGAAATTGAAGTAGTCGCAGGTGGAGACCTCAAGGTCGAGCTCCCGAACGTTGCGCCGGACGGCGTGGCGGATCATGCCCGACAGGCGCGTGAAGCTCACCGAGTCCCGGAGCCTGAGGACCCGGACGTCTGCGCTGCGCTTCTCGAGGAGGGCCG